AAAATCAATGTGTCATACATGCCTCCCTGTTGAAAAAAACAGCACATGTTGGCTATATATGTTTTGAAGCTGGGATGCTGGTTTGAGCTGGTTTAAGCTGGTCCTTTGCTGGTTTATGCTGGTCCTTTGCTGGTTTATGCTGGTTTAAGATGGTCCTTTGCTGGTTTATGCTGGCCCTTTGCTGGTTTAAGATGGCCCTTTGCTGGTTTAAGCTGGTCCTTTGCTGGTTTAAGCTGGTCCTTTGCTGGTTTAAGCTGGTCCTTTGCTGGTTTAAGATGGTCCTTTGCTGGTTTAAGATGGTCCTTTGCTGGTCATGTGCTGGTCTTAAGCTGGTCGGACCAGCACATGACCAACTTAAACCAGCTAAGGACCAGCTTAAACCAGCAAAGGACCAGCATAAACCAGCTCAAACCAGCATCCCAGCTTCAAAACATACCTAACATACCTGGTTTAAGATGGCCCTTTGCTGGTTTATGCTGGTCCTTTACTGGTTTAAGCTGGTCCTTAGCTGGTTTAAGCTGGTCATGTGCTGGTCTTAAACTGGCCGGACCAGCACATGACCAACTTAAACCAGCTAAGGACCAGCTTAAGCCAGCAAAGGACCAGCATAAACCAGCTCAAACCAGCATCCCAGCTTCAAAACATACCTAACATACCTGGTTTAAGATGGCCCTTTGCTGGTTTATGCTGGTCCTTTGCTGGTTTAAGCTGGTCCTTTGCTGGTTTAAGATGGTCCTTTGCTGGTTCATGCTGGTCCTTTGCTGGTTCATGCTGGTCCTTTGCTGGTTCATGCTGGTCCTTTGCTGGTTCATGCTGGTCCTTTGCTGGTTTAAGCTGGTCCTTAGCTGGTTTAAGCTGGTCATGTGCTGGTCTTAAACTGGCCGGACCAGCACATGACCAACTTAAACCAGCTAAGGACCAGCTTAAACCAGCAAAGGACCAGCATAAACCAGCAAAGGACCAGCATAAACCAGCTCAAACCAGCATCCCAGCTTCAAAACATACCTAACCAGCATATGCTGTTTTTTTCAACAGCACTGTGATCAAAAAAACTAAAGTAGATGTACAATATGAAAAGACAAGAATACAAATGAAACTGCATTATGGTATACAGTGTGCTTATTTATAGTGTTTTCTTATAAAAGAAACCAGTTGTCATATTGTTTTACAAAATATGTAAACTATTCACTTCGATAGAATGTAGCACGATCAATTTATTTTCATTACATAACATTACTATTAATAATAGTTCAGCTATTTTTGTCTCGATATTCAAGGACATAAATAGAAAGGAAAAAGACTTCCGTTACAGTTAAGGGCTGTCATTGTATGACAAGCATTAATATTAGTTATCACTGTACTATTCAAACCCCTTTATTAATAGGAGGTGTTCACATATTTATGTTTGTGCAATAAGCAGGTTCATTAACACCATCACATATATAGAAGTTGCATTAAAATGTTAAGTTAAAGAACGAAATCTGTCTGGCAGTCTTCGAGCGGTTATGTATTTCCCCTCATGGCTGTAATAAACCATATTCACAAGTCATATTTCTTCTAAAAGACACGAGGTATGATCCTTCACCACTAGAAGGATCTTCATGATGTAATGTCAGTAATCTAGCAGTTCTCACCCGCGATGTCTTCTCGTGGACTACTGCTGGATGCTGGATGTCGAGGTGCTGCTTTAGGTTTGGTCTTGCTTATTTCTCGGTGAGCGCGATTCTCTATATTAAAGTTTCTCATCAGGTGTGTTACTCTTGAGCCCATGTTTGAAATCTCTACACAGAGGACATTCCTCTTCTTCTGTTAAAGGTGCTATAGGCATTGACGGCTCTTTACTGCCCCCGACTGGCCGCTTCTCCGGTCGACACACCAAGATTTGGTTTTGTTTCTTCAAATGAGTGCTGTCAAACGATTAATCGCGATTAATCGCATCCAAAATAAAAGTTTTTGTTTAGATAATATATGTGTGTGTGTACTGTATATATTTATTATGTCTATATAAATACACACATACATGTATATATTTAAGAAAAATATGCTATGTTTATATATTAAATATGTTTATCTGTGATATAAATAATATAAATATATACGTGTGTGCAGTGTTGGGGAAAGTTACTTTTAAAAGTAATGCATTACAATATTGCGTTACTTCATAAAAAAGTAACTAATTACGTTACTTAGTTACTTTTTATGGAAAGTAATGAGTTACGTTACTTTTTAAATCTGGACAGGGCTTGCTTGTTTGTTTTTAATATAAAAAAGTTATATTTTTGGCAAATATAAAAGCCTTTTCACACCAGAAGTGAAATGAATAAGCCTCAGGCTGAAGGGAAACAGCCCCAAAACATTACTGTTCTAGAGGAGATCTGCATGGAGGAATGGTCCAAAATACCAGCAATAGTGTGTGAAAACCTTGTGAAGGCTTACAGAAAACGTTTGACCTCTGTCATTGCCAACAAAGGGTATATAACAAAGTATTGAGATGAAATTTTGTTATTGACCAAATACTTATTTTCCACCATAATTTGCAAATAAATTCTTTAAAAATCCTACAATGTGATTTTCTGGATTTTTTTTTCTCATTTTGTCTGTCATAGTTGAGGTATACCTATGATGAAAATTACAGGCCTCTCTCATCTTTTTAAGTGGGAGAACTTGCACAATTGGTGGCTGACTAAATACTTTTTTTCCCCACTGTAACTTGCGTTACTTATTTGAAAAAGTAACTCAGATATTCTCTTGTAAATAAAAAAGTAATGCGTTACTTTACTAGTTACTTGAAAAAAGTAATCTGATTACATAACTCACGTTACTTGTAATGCGTTACCCCCAACACTGCGTGTGTGTAGAGTCAAGATGTGTTCGGCTCCATCACGGATCACACACAATGAAAAATCAGTTGCCACCTTACATTTTTAAGCTGAATCAAGTTAGCAATGATCCTGAGTTCATGCAGAGGATGAATGGAAGGCAGTCTGTGAAGAGATCAGCTTCATCTGGCTCTTCCTCTTCACTGGCTCTGGCAGAATCTGCTAACTATCTCCTGCATCCACCACGGTCTTCTGTTTGTCCAGCTTTACCTGCTTGTTCTGCTCTGCCACGTCTTCTGCTCCACTAGCTTCCCAGTGGCTTACTTATTAAAGGGGTCCTAAGATGCTATTTTAAAGATCATTATTTTGTGTATTTGGTGTAACAGAATATGTTGACATGCTTTAATGTTCAAAAAACACATTATTTTTCAAATACTGTACATTATTGTAGGTCCTCTATGCCCCGCCTCTCTCAAACGCTTCGTTTTCTACAAAGCCCCCTCCTTTGACAAGCGCAGTCTGCTCTGATTGGCCAGCTGACCCAGTGCATTGTGATTGGCCGAACACCACAAGCACGCCCCTTACCATAAATGTAACGCCCCTTACCATAATCGCAGCTTCAGCTTTCAAAGTAAATATCAAGACAGTTAATAATTGCATTTGAACAGTCAAATAGCAAATACTTAAACTAATAACAAAACATACGTACAGTCACTGATTCAGAACATATTTTTTTTTTAAATAGCCTTTGTGCACAGCCAGCCTTGTACTCTTCTAGGTTACAAAAACTGTCGTCCATAACATGCGTTGCACAAATTTGAACATCTGGGTTGTGCTGTTCTGTTGTAAATAAATCTTAACCAATGATTCCTAAATGCATCTACTTCCGGAAGGCCAAATAAAGTGCTTTTGCTTTCGCACTGAAACACACAGCGTCTCCCCGACATGCTGCATCAACACTACTGCTGTTCCTGAAACCACGCCGCCTTTCTTTGCGTGCACATTTGGGCCGCATTATGCAAATATTCCCACATCGTGACGTAGATATGTGGGGGCGTGTTAGAACGAGCCGTTTTAGGTAGGCGTGGTTGACTCTTAACTTTTATAAAGAATATCTCTTTGGATTTGAGACTTTAGTCTTTGCAACTTTACAGATCTTCTTTATGCACCAAGAGCTTGTAACACTCCAAAGAGAAAGGAAAAATAGAAATTGCATCATATGACCCCTTTAAATTCGGTTTAGAGTTAGTTGCATGTACAGTAATTATGCATAATTTATTGTTATTAATATAACAGTATGTAACATGTAACAAAGACACTGTGAAATAAAGCGTTATCTTTTATAGTCACATCTGGTCTTTCCTTCGCCAAGCAATAGTAGCCTAAATGTGACCACAGCTTTAGTCAGATCTTTTGTATATTTACTAACCAGCATTGAGTGGCATCTACGCTAATGTTAACACTTTTGTTTCTTTTTTTTGGAGTTGTTATCCTGAGGGCACCAGTACTTCTGTGTGCAGCATAGGTTCAGTCAGACATTCTGCTTCCCCCATTATGGAATAACTTTCTAGCAGCTCTCTAAATAAAAATACTACCATACGACCAAAATCTTATATGACAAAATGAGTAATAAGTATTATGTGCCACTATTTTATATATATATATATATATATATATATATATATACACATATTTTTTAAACGACTGCATTGTAAAAGCTTGTGTTGATTAAGTGTAAAATGAATTTTTAACTTATTTTCTGCTGAGTTCAGTACACTACCAATGGCAAAAATAAGCTCAACACAGAAACTTTACTTGCTTAGTGGCATAGTGCGAACGAATGCTGCAACTTGTTAAAATAAGCAGAGAAATAAATATGCAGCTTGAAACCGTCTTAGCTTTTAAAGCAGCTCTATGTAACTTTTTCTGTGCTCGAAATTTGCTAAATGTATATAATGAGCGTGTACATGAATTCATCTTCCAAACCGCGTTTTTGTCTTATTCCGAATCACTACGGTACACTAAGTACTTATATTTGGACTATTGTAGGCTGGTCGGGTCGTCACCGCTGTGGAGTAACACATACCTGCGTGAATCGCCATAGACAAACTTATTAGTTTATTAGTTTATGAGTTTACTTATTTAGAGAAGTAGCTCCGGTTGGAATGTTCTTCCGCGGGATGTGTGCAGTTATGTTTATTAACCGCTAGAGCACCAAAAGTTACATAGTGCTGCTTTAACTGGTAATTAGAAAGACGAGTAAAGCTTGTAAAGAGTGTAAAATATTGTATTTTTATTTCCAAATGGGAAATGTTAACAAAAAGGCATGTTAAAAAAAATTATAATGGCAATTTTGAGGTGATTGCTGACACTTACGATACTGTTAAACCAAATGAAATGCAGGTGAGGGGTTTTAAAGACGTTCTGATGAGCACTGTACAAACCAACGAGGGAAATGGTATTTTGGAGTGTCCCCTTGATCCAAATCCAAACAGTTCCATATAGATTTATGCTAGATGAATTAAAATACATTGAAGCAAATACATTTTAAAAGTGTCCTCCATGGAGAACAGAAGAAACGGCACATGAGGATAGGGACCAGTTGGAACCTGATCTGATTTGAATGAGGCTGTGTCCGAAACCAAAGACATCTGCTTTGCTTACTCGCTGCCCAGTCAGTCAATGACTTAACAAACCACATTTCTGAAAACTGGTTTCAGACTGGCTTCCAAGGCACCATAATGTCATGTTTAAATATCATGAACAAATTCAAGAGCGTATCCTCAGCAGGACAACTTTGCACATTACTTAGACCTAAACAGTAGTAGTACCTTAAAGGTACATATGACTACTTTAAGATACTAAAACACACTTTTTAGAGGTAGATAAGGTACAAAGTTGTTCTTCTGAGGGTATTGCCCCAGTGACATGCTGTTGTACCCCAAAAATGTCCAATTTTTTTATTAACTTTTTTTCTGACAATAGCCTACAATGCATTTTCTCTGTGGAGATATGCTGATGTATGGCAGTCTTTAACATTTGGCTAGAAACACAAAAATGAACAATGTGTTAAATAATTATTTGTTACATTAGGTTAACATCTAATCATTTGGAGAGGATGTCAATTCAATTTAGTATCTTAAGCAACGTAAAACCAATCAAAAAATAAATTAAAGAAATTGTGAGAAACCAATTTCCTCTGCAGGTAAAACCACTAGAATAATAAAGACTTTGCATTTTTATTCCTCCATTTGGAACATGATCTCGTCAGCGGAGGAGAAAATGAACAAACCACAAACATTCTCAAATTCAACACTCGTTCTACGGGTTCCTAAATGCGACCAAAACTGCTTCTTTGCAAAGCAACACAAAAAAGATGAGCGAGGATAACAAAACAAAAACCCTGAATGAAAACAAACTAAAAAATAAACCTTAAACAAGCATCTCGTATTTACACTGAATACAGGCATCATTTCATATAATTATAATGGTTATGGCCACAACTTTCCACGTCCTCCCCTTCCAACTTTACCCACAATTCCCCCTGTTGGCCTCCCCAGCTCGCTCGTGTTTACACCCCTCAAAGTCTGTGCAAACGGTTCAGTCTTCAGGCGACTAGTGCGTGTGGAGCCGCAGGGGAGCTCAGGTGAACTCATGAAGCTGTACATGCCTCCGGTCTGGAGGGAGTCGAGGCCACTTGAGACGGCTCAGGGAGGATGAGATCAGGGTGGGCCCAGGAGGCTGGGTTTAGAGGTTGTCTCCGGGCTGATATTGAGGTTCGGTTGCGGTGAAGTAATCCTCGAGGAAGGCCTGCAGGTACTCGAAGGTGGGCCGCTCTTCTGCGTCCTTCTTCCAGCACTGAACCATCAGCTCGTGAAGAGAGCTCGGGCAGTCCTGGGGACTCGGCATCCGGTAGCCACGCTCCACTTGTTCCAGTACCTCTCTGTTATTCATCCCTAGCAAAAAAACACGCATTAGTTTTAGCACAACAATACTGTCAGTATGTTAATCTTAGAGATTTCATGGGTGCCATCTAGGAAGACAATGCTATAAAGGAGTTTTCTTTAAGCAGGTTCCCAAGGTACACTGTCCAAATTTGATAAAACTCATTTGCCTGTAACTATTTGTGACCCTGGAGCACAAAAGCATTCTTAAGTCGCTGGGGGATATTTGTAGCAATAGCTAAAAATACATTGTATTGGTCAAAATGATAGATTTTTCTTTTATGCCAAAAATCATTAGGACATTAAGTAAAGATCATGTTCCATGAAGATATTTTGTAAATTTCCTACCGTAACTATATCAAAACTTAATTCTGTCTGCTAAGAACTTCATTTGGACAACTTTAAAGGCGATTTTCTCAATATTTAGATTTTTTTGCACCCTCAGATTCCAGATTTTCAAATAGTTGTATCTCAGCCAAATATTGTCCGCTCATAACAAACCATACATCAATGGAAAGCTTATTTATTCAGAGATAGTGTATAAATCTCAATTTCAAAAAATTGACCCTTATGACTGATTTTGTGGTCCAGGGTCACATTTAGTAATCCTGAAGACCTCGATTAGCTTGAGTTGGATTAGGGCTGCAGCTAAACTTGAGGGCCAGAGCTGAGAACACTTGCAATAAAATTAACTTTAGCTAAATATATATTATGAACAATAAGCCGTTTTCAGCTACCTGTCTTCATTTGGAAATCCCAGGGTTTCTCACTCACAGTAAACTAATACTAAGCTGTGTAATTTCTGGAAAACAAGACAAAAATTGATAAAGAAAATAATTGTTATTATTGTTGGAAGCACTTTTGTTCAGGCAACAATTCTCACTATTAACTAGTTGTTCATTAGCACACATATTACTAGCATATTGGCTGATTGTTATTACTTATAAAGCACATATTAATGCCTTATTCTGCATGATCAATATTTTAGATCCCTTAATCCCCAAACCTAAACTTAACAACTAACTTTCTAACAATTAATAAGCAACAATTCAGGAGTTTACTGAGGCAAAAGTCATAGTTAACAGCTTATAGTGAGACGTGATCCACAAACTAAAGTCTGACCTGATTACTATTAATATTTTTGCAATGTATTCATGATACTCATTACACTAAATTTCATAAAAATTCGAATTTCTCGTTATTTTAAACTAAAGAAATCGTCACCCGAAAAGGAGTACTTAACATTTTATTGGAGTGATATTTTACTAGGGTATCTGTACTCTTATTTGATTTGTGTACTTCATCCACCACTGAAACTGAAGACATGCATATGGACATCTATCCCTCTTAGGACCATTTAACCATTTAAAGGTGTGTGTAATTTCCATGCCATTAGTGGCACCAAATACAACTGATAACATTTGAAATACGGTAAATGAAACTCTATTCTCAAACACTCCCTCATCTTTCATTTGTTAGTTCTGCCCAAACTCACACACTATAAGATTTGAGCCAGCATTGCTATGGTGAGCGAGTTGGGATGCTCAAATAAACAGAGCATGAGCTTTTTGTTACCAAGATGTTTTCAGAAAGATGTATTTTCATAGACACATTGAAAAGTAGTCACTTGTGAACCAGAAGCACTAATAAAGAGATCCATAAACTCATGTTGCAAAGTACATTTTGCAACAATGACTGGGGAGATAAAAACATAGACTATCAATCTGTCAATCAAACCAGGCAATATCACCGTTTTTTAAGCTTTGGGGGGGCAGGACAATCAGACCTGCTTCTAAATACTAGGGATCTTGAAACAGAACTGCACTTATGAAGCCAGACGATTAATCATCATCATCATGAGGGACATGACCACATTTCAACAAGACTGAGAGAGAAACGCCTGCAAACATCTGTGGATGATGCAATACTGCGTTGACACAATGGCATTTCATACTCCGCCTTCATTTCTACCCTACATTCCAGCCAAGATCACTGGATTTATTTTCTAGAATTTGTGTAGATCTACAGCAATTCATCATGTATCAGAGTTTCAGCATCTCATCTTTTAAGAGTCTGAGAGAAATTTGTTTAAAGTGTGGAAACAGCAGCAGAGTCAGTTTGAAATAAAATGGAAAAATAAAATCCGAGACTGGACATGCCTCTCAGAAATTGGGGTATGTGACAGCAAAGACCTTCACCGTTAAATGTTTAGACAAGTCTTTTGGTTTACAGAAATGATGAAATATCACAAAGTGCATCTTCAAAAGACACCTATTTTAAATGTAGGTCAGATAGTTTTGGCTTTTTATGCATTTTTTTAAAGATCACGTTAGTTCTGACATGATCTTTCAGAGAGATAACATTCATGGCAATGTTAATGTGTTTGGTTTTGGCGGAATAGATCTGCTCCGCTGCTGTGGCAGAGCAAGTACCAAGACTTGCTACTGCCAATACATCCACAACATGCTGCTGTGAGCATGTAAGAAATACTGCTGCTGCATATATAACACATGAAAAAACTCCGTAGCTGATCTATACAGGTGGAGCTGGGGAAGGTGGAGGGTTTCTGAAGTGTGCTATGGAAAAAACTGGCCAAGTATTTGAATGCTGAGCAGCAAGCTCATTGGCTGCTGATGCAACAAAAACCAATCGGCTGCACCAAGTGAATAATGATGTCATTATGTCAGACTGAGTTAGAACCTATCAGTCTGCACCATCTAGAGTTTCATAACAGAACTTTATATTCATTTTGCAATACATCTAGGGATCACTCAGATTTACCTGGATATGGAACTCTGCCTTTAGTGACCAGCTCCGTAAGCAGGATTCCAAAAGACCAAACATCAGATTTAATGGTGAACTTCCCATACAGAGCTGCTTCAGGAGCCGTCCACTTAATAGGGAATTTTGCCCCTGAGACACAGGAGAAAGAAAGAGATGTATTAAAATAAACATGCACTGGAATATCTTTTCTTAAGGTCAGCTACCAACTATGAAAAACTTTGAAATCATGAAATCAAAATCAAAGTCTTTCACATGGACAGAAGAATAAGAGACAGGAAATAATTAGAGACCAGAGATCGGGAAGCTACACTATATATGTTGGAGCGCTGTCCACAACACACCTCTCTGACTTCACATTTATTGTCTTAATACATATCTTATTGTGTACAATTCATCAGATCACATTATTCTAAAACAATCTGTATAGACAATCTGTGTTGACCGATAATAACAGAGTTCACTTTTCACAATCCAATCAAATCTCAAATCCATGTGAAATGCGACTTCTTTGCTGTATAAGATTAATTAACCTGCAAATCAATCGTGAAACGATTTGCTTTCAGGAATGGCGGATTTTTGCACAAACAATGCAGGCAGTTTGGTGGCAGAACTTCTGTGTGCGATGAACATTTCACATTCAAGACAGTTTCATGGGATTTTACCAGGTCTTCCTTTTGCTTGGCCATTTTATTAAAAAGAAATTGCTACATTTCAGGTAACTTTTTCTAAGAGGCTCGCTGTCCTCTAACTCTCCCGCAGCCTCTTTGGCTGCTATCTCTCTGCAGCACAGAAACAGGATAAGCAGTCTGCCAATGAGAAAAGCCTCTTTATCTACCAGAGACGCCAAAATGTGTGAGGAAAGTTATTCAAATCACAAAATAAAATGAGGAGCATATATACATGGACTAGAACATAGTGCTATTTCCTTGTTTGTTTGTTTTTTAAATAAAAGTATGCTTCTTCAGGATTTGAACTTGCAGCCTGGGCAGCTATCTAACAATAACCATAATACTTTTGTGTTTACTTTAAGATGTTATCTATTGAACACAATGATATTTGGCAGTGGTTTTCACTTGAGTGTTATTAAATAGATTTAATAATTAATTATTAAACAAACAAACAAACAACCTGAGATTTGAATTTTGTTATAAATTCATTTCTGTGCATCCCTGTTTAGAATATTGTAAATAATATCTTCAGAAAAACTGAGAAAATGAGTCACAATGAGCACAATGAATGAAATTGTCACATTCTCCATTAAAAGACCTTCAAACGAAAGGTCAGACGAAAAATGACTGAGCTACACCCGTTAGAAATCAACGAAGCAAGCAAAAGTTGAAGTTTTCTGAAGGTTCCAAAGCAAAATCACTGAGCAACATTGCATTGTTTCATCCACTTTCTTTCTTAATATTAATTACTGTACTATATTGATAATCACATTATAGCCATTTTCTATTTTACCTTTGTTATTAAAAGTAAGAACAGATGCAAAAAAACAACAACAACAGTAGAACAAATATAAGAAAGAAACAAATTTTTCATTTCACATCTAAACAAAAGCACTCAAGTAAGTAAAACAAATAATCAAATGTAAAAATCACTTCAGTGTGTTCATTACAAATAAACCGATTATTAAAACTACAAAAGCAGTTCAATCAAGAGCAGTGATCTTTTCTTTTATTGTTAGATTTACATTAATGAGACAGACGGCCTATATAGTAAGTAGGGTTGCAAAGGGGTGGAAAATTTCTGGTAAATTTCCAAAATTGCTGCAATATTTCCCAAATTTACTGGAAATGTTCCACCTTTTTGCAACCCTAATAGTAAGTCCTACTGTAATGCATGGATCTAATATGTTTAAAGTTTTTCCCCAACAGTAACTCAGATGTTCATATAGCCATTTTCTATTTTACCTTTGTTATTAAAAGTAAGAACAGATGCAAAAAACAACACCAACAGTAGAACAAATATAAGAAAGAAACAAATTTTTCATTTCACATCTAAACAAAAGCACTCAAGTAAGTAAAACAAATAATCAAATGTAAAATCACTTCAGTGTGTTCATTACAAATAAACCGATTATTAAAACTACAAAAGCAGTTCAATCAAGAGCAGTGATCTTTTCTTTTATTGTTAGATTTACATTAATGAGACAGACGGCCTATATAGTAAGTAGGGTTGCAAAGGGGTGGAAAATTTCTGGTAAATTTCCAAAATTGCTGCAATATTTCCCAAATTTACTGGAAATGTTCCACCTTTTTGCAACCCTAATAGTAAGTCCTACTGTAATGCATGGATCTAATATGTTTAAAGTTTTTCCCCAACAGTAACTCAGATGTTCACTTAAGACATAACAGATTTTGTTTGCGTGAATAGCCTATTCAAATACTGTAATTCTGTATATACATACAGTATGTGTATGTATGGGATCACGCGCTGGCAGAAGCGCTGTTATGTGCGTGATTCATATATCAGTCAGCAGCAGCGCGAGAAGTGAGCAGAGAAAAAGTACTCCTCTCAGAAAACGTACAAATAAAGATAATTTTAGATGTTTAATTGTTATTTGTAGCATTGGGATTGCTAGACGAGGGTTTAATGAACTCATTTTTGTGAAAACCTGAAATTCGACCAAAATCGTAATTGTTCACTTTTTTTTTTTGTGTGTCTGTAGCTCAAAATGATCCTGAGCTCATTCCGACTCATTTTACCAGCACGAGTCTAGGGTTGCGTATCGTTTGCATTTGATCAATTCCGATTCCTTTTGATTCCAATGTGATTAAAAAATGATATCAAACATTTATCCCGTGTCTATTTTTGCAAACCATTCAGTTGCAGCTGAATACCATGAACAAAAATCAAAAGGCTACATAAAAACTGGACTCTTTAAGAGCTGTTAATGTGCAAAAATAGAGCTGCATGATTCTGGATAAATTCCGTTTTCTTTTTCTTTTTTTCCCCCAATGGAATTTGTAGTTCTCTTATGATTCTGAAGAAAAAAAACTAAACAAAAATCACATGTAATTTATGAATAAATGATTCAATGACTCACTCAAGATGTACTTGTTTCATTACTGGATGAATCAGCGTTCTTGAACGAATCTCGAATCTCTTGTCAAAGACAAATACATTTTAACAGCCCCTTTTCGCCACCTACTGGCGTAACGATGTAATCGCTAAATCTTCATTTGAAGTGTCAAATTACTTTCAAAAGGTAATTTACTCTATTTTACCATTTAGATAGCTAAGTAAACGTGTGTGTGTGTGTAAAATCGTAATTGTTCACTTTTTTTTTTTTTGTGTCTGTAGCTCAAAATGATCCTGAGCTCATTCCGACTCATTTTACCAGCACGAGTCTAGGGTTGCGTATCGTTTGCATTTGATCAATTCCGATTCCTATTGATTCCAATGTGATTAAAAAATGATATCAAACATTTATCCCGTGTCTATTTTTGCAAACCATTCAGTTGCAGCTGAATACCATGAACAAAAATCAAAAGGCTACATAAAAACTGGACTCTTTAAGAGCTGTTAATGTGCAAAAATAGAGCTGCATGATTCTGGATAAATTCCGTTTTCTTTTTCTTTTTTTCCCCCAATGGAATTTGTAGTTCTCTTATGATTCTGAAGAAAAAAAACAGACAACTAAACAAAATCACATGTAATTTATGAATAAATGATTCAATGACTCACTCAAGATGTACTTGTTTCATTACTGGATGAATCAGCGTTCTTGAACGAATCTCGAATCTCTTGTCAAAGACAAATACATTTTAACAGCCCCTTTTCGCCACCTACTGGCGTAACGATGTAATCGCTAAATCTTCATTTGAAGTGTCAAATTACTTTCAAAAGGTAATTTACTCTATTTTACCATTTAGATAGCTAAGTAAACGTGTGTGTGTGTGTGTGTGT